TCACCAGGAAAACTTCCTCTGGCTATCTGTAGGTTTCACCCCTTAGCTCCTGGACAGGATATTTAGCATGCCTAGGATATCTGGCAATGCCTTACAGTCACAGAAGGCAGAGCTGATCCATTTCTAGCATAGCTGCTGCCAAACACTGTTCAACAGCATCATTATTTAGTACAGAAGACTTGCAGTCTAAGTGTTTTTTTCACTAGGTATTATTGGCTAGTGAAAATGTTCTACTGCATTTAGAACACAGCAGGGTTCATGTATTCTTCTATGCTCAAAAGCACCAATTAGAGAGATTAAAGAGCCTGATTAAATATCTCGTTAAGGAGCTTCTGAACTGCTGGGCCAGCACTGGACCTTGGAGGACTTCTAATTTTGCAGTCCCTTTGCAGTTTCGTTAACATAATTGGCACAAAGACTTACTTAGAGCTATTTAAATTGTTTTTATAGATGCAGCATATCAACTGATCTCTTTGGAGTCTTTGTGGAGTCAGTGGCGTCCTCAAAACTACAGAGGGACCTAAATAACACTTTTGCTATACTGCCTAAGTGGACCCCCCCTAGATAAATAACTTGCTGAAAGCAAGTGCTTCATTACTGCAAAAAGTGCACTTACCTTGTCTGTCTTCTCTTAAGCATTTATCTTCTTCATACACATGAATAGGCATACCTACACTAGTATCTTAGAAGACATAAAACCATGCTAAGGACCTGCCTTATTCTAACACAAAACATTTCTTGCAATATCCCTCCCATAAATAATTATATTTCAAGCCTTATTTTCAATATGCATGATAATTATCAGAATTATATCTATAAGATTTGGGTCACTTCAGTCAAGTACACCTCCAAGTGTTAGGTTTAATTGAAAAAACATTAACTACCCTGGGTACACTCACAAAAACAGGAAAATATAAAGTCAAAAAGAGACAGATTAAAACCTTTTTCTCTTTTCATGCCTTTATCCATTAAGAAGCATCTAAGTAAAATCCTTTGGGTGAACTTTACTGACTTTCACAAGCACCATATCACCTTCTGTGTGGGTTATATTCGATGAATTAGCCATGAGAAGCATTTTAAAATGTCTTAAATACAGGAACTGTGTTAAAATGGGCTTAGGAACAAAATAAGACTGACCTGACTTTTGGGCTTTCTAAAACACTAAATGACAATTTAGCCATTAAATATTTGAATGTTCAGAAGAGTTCTTAAACAAAAACTAAGGCAGCTGTGTACCGCTTCAGGAAATACGGTAAAAAAATCAAAATTTTCCTCCATGGACTTATTTCCTGTACTTTCCTCATCTCTTCTCTCTTAGGGCAGGGTGTGGGAGAAAGTGAGAGAGAATAAAGTCTTCACATGTATTATGAATGTGTTTTCCATTAACTGAGTACATTACAATTTTATTAAAAACAGACATGAAAAATCTCCTACAAATCTGCTGCAGGTGATTTTCAAAATCTCATGATCTGGTTAAATAAAAAAAAAACCTCCTAGAAAAACCTCAAAGGGACATCCATGTGACAATAACTAATTTCAAACCCACTTTACCTTTTGGGTCTCAACACTGTAACCAGCACTATCAGTATCCATGTAAAATTACTTTTAGACTGTTGTAATAATGTATGTGACAGATGCTGACAAGGAATAATGCTCTATCACAGCAGATACCTATGAAAGAGCCATTCCTTCTCC